TTCTCATGGATGACCAGAAATACTAGATGCTAGCTGGTTTGATGATAGCTGATTACTGGTAACAGAAAAATGTTTCTTAATCATTCCAGAAACTAATGGAAGAAAGCTAACAACATTTTCATCTATTCAGTGTACTTTTAAATTGTGAGTAAAATACTTTTCTTGGCACCCACTTACAATAAAACGCTAACAATAATTATCGCAGTATAATTTATTTCAATAACAATATAACAAATGTTCAATAAATATTCAATAAATGTTATTCACTTGAATCATAACATAACATAATTTGTTTACAAAGATTTTATCATAATTGTTTTGAGTGTTCTGCCTCAGATTTGTGAAGTAAGATGAATGCATTTTGTATTGGCAAAAAGAAATTGTGAAAGAAAAGTAGCCAGGTTGAATTTGACTGAAATAACATGGAGGTAAATGATTCTTTATATTTTGGATGTGACCGACATGTTTGCTCGTAAGCATTACCAGCTTTTCTTTTCTTTCCTGACAAAAGTGTGTCCATTTTGTGCTTTACATGTCGGATACATGCTAACCTGAATGCCTTGCTAGCATCAGTGTTTTCTTGTTCCCACATTAATCAGATTCATTTTCACAGGAAGAAAAGCACACGTGGAACTAATTGCATTAATCATTGCTCCATTCCAACAATCAGTGTCAGGTAATGCATCCCAATAACATTATTAGTCACACCTACGGCTGACAGGTCAAATTGTCATAAAAGTTTTATTCAGCTTTTGTTGTGCTCATTTTTCCTTCTGGTCATGTGTGTAAATATTAATAAAATGAATTATGGCTTTATTCCATTTAGCTGCTTTAGGGTCAGGCTCTTGGCCAGTTATTGTTCATGCTTGCTCACTGGCATGGCATCCTAGGACACGTAAATAGAACAGAGCCATTGTTAACACTTGTGTTTTTCCTTCTATGACAAGTCCAAATGTCTGCCGTGAAAAAGATCCATTCGCACAGGGAAACTGTGAGTGCACACAACTATGGCAAGTAAAAGTAGGTCAAAGTTGAACCAGGAAGTGGGTCTGTAAACTGTGATGGCTGTTTACTATGGACAGTTTGGTAAATCATCTACCGTTGGCCATCATATCCTCCTCCACATAATTCAGTCTAGGGATTTGCTTAAAACCTGTCTGCTCGTGTTTCTTGCCCCAACTTGAAATATTTATGCTAAAACATACCTTCAGATTGTAAGCAAGCACAGCATGCAGGAAATCGACTGGCAGCTGGCAGGGGAGCGCAAGAGATGAAGTTGTCACAAAATAAATAGGCTCTTTGGTACATGTGGGATGAATGAAATCCAGGACTATTAGCATATCGACATCCTTTACATTTCATTCCTCAATTACTGCATGACAGAAGCAGCAACAAAAGCTGAAAATAGGAGGGTTTTAATGCCAGTCTGTCTGGGCTGGAGCAGACTGGCTACCTTTGCCATGAAAATTGACAATTTCTTTCCCTGTTTCCTCTGTCAAAGCTGCTGAAGAAAGAGTGAAAGGGAAACAGATATAGGCAGAATGGGACTCAAGCACTGGGATGAAGAGGAAGAGAAGATCGGGAGGTGCAGATTACATAAGACCATCACAAATATCATGGTAAAGACCTGAGAGGGAGAAGAGCTATTTTAAACCTGGGCTGGAGCTCAGAGAAAGAAGCGGTGTGGGCTGATATGTTGGCCATCACAGCAAACTGTGTGTGTGTGTTTGTGTGTGCAAAGTGTGTGTTCCCCTCCCTGCAGAAACCTGGCCGATAGCGGACTGGGTCTTTAAAGACATGTTACATAATGCATACTGGGCTTTAATCAAATTTGAGTCCTGGTCATCCAGTCATTCCGAAAAATCCGGACTGGTTAAGGATTTTGCAGAAAATGGACAGTGCTGAACAAATCCAAACTGAACAGTATAGTGGGCGGATGTGACGTTGGTAAAGAAATAATACATGTATTGTTGGAAGAAGCAGATGATAAAAATACCCCTCTGCAGGGACGTGGAGGTTGAACCAACTCAAATATAAAGTGGCTGCTTTATTTTCAAGAAAGCGTACGTGAAAATAGCATTGTGGTTACCAGCTTGCATTGCTTCACTATGGACACAGTGGAGATGTGATGTGGGTTTGGCCACCCTAAATCTGCCCCTGCCCCTAAATTTTGAATTTGAAAAGACATGTTTTTATTTTCTGTTTTTTGATTAACCTCACTCCAGTATTTCAATAAGGACAGACTTAACAGAAGAGACTCATAGAATAATAAAATGACTGTAATGATTGTATTATAGTGCACAATAGGAAGGTTGAAGAAAGTGAACAGTGTCTGACGATTAGACCCCATCATGACATCATATTTTAATATTTTAATGGGGTAGTGATGCCGTGAGCTGTACAGAAATACCTCCACACCCGTGTCTAGACACCGGTGGTGGTGGTGGTGATGGATGAGATGAGGAGCAAGACTTGGGTGATGGGTTCAATGGAAGGACCAACTGGGAAGACTGGTTGTGATGAAGACCAGGGTGGTTGCATCGATCTGATGCAGAAATGACAGCTGACAGCAGCAGAGAAAGGAACCGTTTTTAAGCTTTGACAGCAACGGGATGATTGGCTCACAGAGGATGTGGCAAAATCTGATTGGTTTAACTGAAAGAGAGAATGCCCCCAGTCAGCAGTAGGCAGCTGGAGCAGACACAGACAGAGAGAGGGAGAGTAAATAATAGAGTAACCATGATAGTAGGTCTTCCTGATTGAACTTACGCCAAGCTTCATGTGTGACCTATTCTGTTTGTAAAATTTAAAGCTGCCTTATTATGTTTCTTTTGGACCACTTGGGAGCAACAAGTTGTTAACACAATAATGACCTTTTAAAGTTGTATATGTTGACCACGTTAGGAAACGGTTGCTTATTTACTCATACTGCAGACACAGAACGCTGGCATTACTGTACAAGCTGTGTTTGTGGCATTTCAGTCCGATTTTCACTCTCCTGTTTGTCCCCACCAAACTCCTAAGGGAAATAACTGAGACCCCATTTAAACTTAGCCATTTCATGCGTCTAGGGCAAATCAGATGGTCATGTGTAAATTGCAACCAAGAAGCATTTAGACAGTGTTAGTTTATGGATGGTTGATATCTACCTGGCTAAACTGTTATTGTTGTAACTAAATGCTCCCACAATGTTATTTTCTCTCAGGTGTAATACCAACACCCTCTGAAATGCAAGAAGCATACCCTGATTTGCATAGAGGCTGAGGAAACCAAGATAAATCCCAATAAGCTGCATGATGGGAGTAGCAGAGACATAAATGTGGCTAAGTATAAATGAAAGGGTATTAAATCCTATCAGGATTTATGAGACGTGAAAGAACAAGTGAATGTGGGGCCTGACTTACAGCAGCTAAATGTTCGACTATCACAATCCACACTGCAGAAACCAAAAGAGGCTAAACACCTTAGAGCTGAGGGGAACTGCAGAGTTGGTTGATAAATCTCTGTGGGTTTGTCACTGCAGACGACCCCTTTCACATTACATTGTTAATAAATACATATTGATTTGTGCCTCAAAAGGAAATATTGACTGTAATAATAGTGTGTATTGTTCCCCAATAAAATTAACCTTTTATTTCAGGAACTGAGTACTGCATCACTCTCACTGCTTGCATACCAATTTTTTGATGTTGAAATCATGATTCAGTTGCTGCACATTGCCTGGTAGAATATATTAATGGTATAATTGTCTTGTTGAATTAAGTACAGCACAGGCACGCAGGTCTAAAATAAGCATAAAATTAACATCTGTGACTGCACTCTTGGTTATTGCACGGTGTAACTTTACCGTATGTTTATTGAGTCTGCATTTTGTACTAGAAACCACTAGGGGAAACAATTCACTTGCACCAACAGAAGAAGATCCTCGGGTAAGTCCAGTCTGCCGTCTCCATAAATTCCCCATAACTTGAACTTTTTATTTACCATTATAAACAGGATGTGTGTTGTATGTTAGTCTGGGGGTATCAAACAATGTGTAACAGATTAGGTTATCACTATATCCTCTGCAATAAAACTAAAAACATAAATGTCTCTTGTGTTGTCAATGTCACTATTTAATTATAGTGACTTTTCCTTTTGTGTGCACCCTTACAACTGAATTATAACACATAAAAGTCCCAAAATATTTAAATAATTCTTAACTTTTAACTATTTTAAACAGCTTTCTGCTTGGATTGACAAGGTAACCATGTAACATTGGTGACAAACACACACAGCGTACCTAATCCAAGAAGCTAACTAATCTCTGCATACCTAATGTTAGTGATATTAAGCAAGTTCTACGGAAAATTAGTAATTAGTTAGTTACCAATAGGTAACTGAATATAAAAGTAATTAGTTACTAGAGAAAGTAACTTTTGTGTTACTTTTACACACATTGCTATATTATTTTAGTGTGACTTTGGCACAGTGTGTGACAAGAGTACTGTCCAATTGTAATTATCATTGCACCCATTAGCGGGACAACTTTGAGGACGTTATCTCTTAACTTCTCAGTGTGAGAAATGCAATGTGTGGTGTGTGAGCGTGTAAACTGGCTGAAATGCGTGTGTCTCAAGGTGAATGAGAGCTTGAGAGCCCTGGTTTTGCAGAAGCAGAGCAAGTGACTCATTTCACTTCCAAGGAGATTTGGAGACCTTGTAGCTTAAGACTTCACAGGATTTGACAAAGCGTCTATGAAGATTCTCAGTCATCCAGGTCATAGTTATCCAACGAAGGTTAAAATGAAGGGCAACTGGACTTGGTTGAAGCTACTGGAAGACGTTTCGTCCCTTATCCAAAGGACTTCTTCAGTTCATCAGAACTGAAGAAGCACAATGTTGTGTGTCATTTAATAGTGGCCCTAAAAGGGCCCGTTTGGCTTAATTAGCTAACTAAACGAAATGAAGGTCTGTTAGCCTAAGATCTCAAATTAGTCCAGGAGTAATAAAACCATGTGGCACGGTTACATCAAGGTGTCAGTTTATTTTCATTAGGCTTATAGGCTCCAACACAAGTTGTGAAAGTTTGTAGGCTTTTCATGCGACACACACACAGCAGATAATTAAATGTATATTAGAACATGGTGACATATAAAATAAATAAAAACAATATATAGCCTAGGCTACATATATACCTACATGTATACACGTTTTAGCAATAAAGCTAGAAAGAAAAAACTGAGGAAAAACAAAAATATAGTGGAGTTTGAAGGAGCTACAGGCTACAGCATCTGCATCCACTGCTGTTGCCATAGCAATATATTATTATATATTCTCTTGATTTCAGTGAATTTGCTTCATGTGTGTAAACATATGCTACTCTCAAAACGTTGGCTATACATAAAATACTGCTTTTTAAAATTGGATGGTAACAGTAATGTAACTTCAGAGACAAACTGTATTGAATGCGAAATTCTTTAATGGCACATTAATGTTTAATGTTATCATTATACTGAATCCACTCGGATTTTTCTAATTCCTCACTAATGTTAAAATGCTAACGTTAGTTAGACATATTGATGAAAGTCAGATTTCTGCTGTTAAACATTCCACTTTCTGTCTAGATTTCTTGTATTGGCCTTGCTCTCTTCCCACTGGCTCACAGACCTTTTCCATTAGCTTGCAGACTTCGGGAGTATGACTGAGACCAGCCATACTAACACTGGCTAAAGAAAATCAAAATCACAAGAACATTTTTCAAATGCACATCAATCAGTTGATCAAGTATATACTGTTGTTTCGAGTTTGATTTTGCTGACCTAGCTAACATAAGATAGCTAGAATAGAAAATGTCAACAGCTAGTTAGATAGCTAACAGTATTGGGCATATTTGTCTTTCTCACTAGAAATGGATGTCAAGGTCAAGTTAAACTTAACCTAATATTCAAATATTATGTACAGTTACAAAAAGTTCCCATCAAATTCCACAGTGAAAACACGCGGCCCATGTGTGAAAATGTATGTTTGTTCATACAGTAAGAAAGTATAAAGAAATAAAAGTAATGGCTTGAAATTTTAATAGATTAAATAAAAGGATTCCAAAAGATATAGCAAAGAAACACTGAGCCATGCATAAAATTACATAGGAAATGAGTATGGGTAATTTTTGACCCATGTTCTGCATTAGAAGGGGTTTGCATAGCTTGTGCATCAAAGGGTTAAATAGATTCATTATTTCTGTCTATATTTTTCATACAAAGTGCCCTGATTAGTCCACTTTAATGAAAGCCTAATGGTGATTTACAAGTCTAATACAGCGGTGAAAAACCCTTGAATGAAATGGCTTGCTTCTCTGCTCTTCTTCTTTATGCATTTCTAATTTAGGGTGAGAAATGATCATAGGAACACTCACATCATTCATTAGGTGCTTTCTGGCAAATAACCAAATAAATCCCTCTAGCCCTGCAAGTTAAATGGGATTATATTTACTGTGGTGTGCGTTCCATTTTCACAGACGGTTCTGTTTATGAATGTAAACCAGTAAGTGGTGCCAGCTGATATGACACATCCTCATGACGTCTCAGCTTCCTGCAGAGGCCGAGGTGTTGGGTTCACCTTCAAATAAAGGACAGCGAGCCACAGAGACAATGAATTTTGAGAACAACAACACACCTGCACCTGATATTCAAGCTTCGTCTGGTTGATTTGAAATGAGTCATATAAATATAGAGAACATTGTTCATTTTCACAGCTTTCAGGCCAGCTCTCGAACCATGCCTGGTTAAACACGCCTCAGGTGAAGCCAGGTGGAGTACAGTCTGTCTCTTAGTAAAGTGTGGTGCCCTCTGGTGGTTTAACTGTCACAGCTCTGTGTTTACATACAACCCTGAACACTGGAAATAGTATATTCTCTCAATATAATCTCCCAAGACAATAGGCTACAGCATTTATGTTTATGTAAAAGTTTGGAAATGCTTAGAATATATCATTTTGATCCTGACCTGCTCCTGCTGACTTATTATGTTGCTTTCCTTTATTGTATTATTTTCCTCATTTAGGTTATCGATCTGCAAGGTGTGGTATTTAGGCTTAATATGTTTAGGCACTATCTGTGACCCTCATCTCCCCTATCAATCATGTTATCATAGACCCTTCATGCCTAGTAAATGCCTGTATATTTGGGTATTATATTTTATCAGCTGCAGCCGATTCTCATGTTGCTATAGTTATTTCGAGAAGTGAATATGTTAAAGAGTTAACATCTCGTTATCCTCGATCGTCTTGACACAGACAACCGAGGATAACGAGATGTTAAATGTTATCAGGCATTTGGGGCTTTTGAGTGCTAGTTATTCCTTGTTCCGTCGTGCCTATTTGGTGGTTGTTTGTTTTTTATTCATGTTATTTAGCTTTACACAGTGTATGAATCAGTAAGTGTTAACATGCTTCTATAAATGGGCTTACTGTCATCCTTTTGGGAAGCAAAGTTGTCTGAGTCAGTATGCCTTTTGTATGAGGGTTTGTCAGGTGGTCTGCGTGGTGTCACAGAACACAGGAGGCAGGTATTTCTTTCTCATATTTTTTTGCAGGATCTCTGCTGTAAAGGTTAGAGGAAGATGCATCATCGCCGGTAGATGTGGTCTATGGGAAGCAGAATGAAAAGAACTTTACCATTAAATCTTCACACTAACAAGGCCACTAGCACAATACAGGTAATCATTATAATACAATAATAATAATATTATTACAACTGATTATAATCAGCGGGAAGGATAATTCCTGTACACCAAGAGTAAGCATATAATAACATCAGTGGTCAATAAGCACAACAGGAATAATCACAAAGGTCATGGTGCCCTCTTGTGGCGGCATACGTAATAACATGCACTCCACCTTTCATCAATTAGCGATGCATTTGAACTACCAAACAAAACTTGACACAACCCATCCTATCCTGTATCACTACAAGGAAAAACGCACACCAACCTCGAGTGGAACAGCAGAACCACCCAGCCAAATCCATCAGAAACAAATATGCACACAGCAATATTTGGTATATCTTGGCTCAACTGCTGAGTGTCTATGGGATCAAATAACACAATCTTCCAGGTATTGAGAGAAACTAAAAAAAAGTAAGTAAGAAAAAACCCTGCTCTGGGGCACACAAATTCACATGTTGGTAAATCTGTATAATGCCGTCAGAATTTGTGCTTAAATACGAATAAAATCCTATTTTAAAAGAATCAAGCAGGGTCTCCAGTTTAAGAATGAGAAAGACCGTCATATTGTAGGCTACAGTTACATACTGATATGAAATCTGCAAGGCTGCCACGTAGGCTACAGTTTCTGGTTTGATATATAGACTGTTACAAACAGTACACAGCTAAATGTCTCCTCCCATGCGAGTGACAAATAAAAAAGCAGTCCTGATAACGCCGTGGATGCAGAGAAACACACACACGCTATCGTTCTGTTTCGTCACAATTTAGCACTGTATGGCGTTTGAACTTGTGGACGAGGTGGCCGAGTGGTTAAGGCGATGGACTGCTAATCCATTGTGCTCTGCACGCGTGGGTTCGAATCCCATCCTCGTCGAAAGATTTCTATTTTCACGCCGAGGCCACCGACCAGTCACCTGCAAGACTTAACCCTGCACACAACTAATTTAAGTGGGACTTTTCACCGGAGTAGTGAGTCTACTCAACCCTTATCACTACAGACACTTCCGCTGAGAACGCTCAAACCAAAGCATGGAAAATGTGTTCCTTTTTTTTGACAACTTCAACCCCACGTTGCCTATGTTACAGTGTTACAGCTATGGACAGTGATTGTTATTCGACGCGTTTTAAGTCTACTTTACCATGTCAAGCTGTCAAAACAAACGTAATAGCACAGTTCCGGTGGCAACCTTCAAAATAAAACTATCAAAGTCTCTTATACTGTGTCCGAAATCACAGCTCATTTACTACTCCCTAATCCCTATGTAGGGAGTTGTATGTAGAGGACTATAAAGTGAGCTCACCCGCATTATTAAACCAACACTTTCGGGCACTACGCCGATCATCATTTCTACACCGATAATTACGTCATTGCCGTTGGACAATCAGTTGGTGGACTGTTTTTTTTCTATCAGCGCAATGCATGATGGTATAGGGCTTGGTTAGTGGCCATCAGTTGTACACTACTTTTCAAAATGCATTCTGGGATACACTGAGTGGACTATATAGGATATAATAATTAACACTATACATTCGGACAGCACTACAAAATAGCGAGCTCAATAGTTCACTATATAGTGAGTAGTGAGTGACTTCAGACACAGAGTCTTTCGATTTCTAAATAAGTCTAAATAATGACTGCAGATACTGTAAACATTAAAACAAATATTGTTTGTATAGTATTAATGCTTGAAAAAAATTAAGTAATAATAAATAAATACAATACTGTATTCCTAATTACTTGTAGTTCTTCACTGTGACACGGAATTGCAGTATTCACTTACACCTTCTTTTCTCCCCACCGGATTTTCGACAACTCTACCTCTAATTGACTAGTAGGCCTACCCTTTACCACCCTTAGAGTAGCCAGTAGGGGGCAGGACACTTTATACAGTCTATGGACATGACGGAAGGCAGGGCCGAGTTCAGCTCCGACAAAACATAGCAAAACGTTTTGAGGTTGAACTCGCCCAGGTGTCTGTTAAATGAGAGCCGATTTGGACTCAAACCATGGACGGTAACATCCCGTGGCAACCTTTAAAGTAAAGCTATAAAATTAGATGGCGGTGTGTGTTTCTAATATATCCACCCAAAATAAGTGTATTATAAATACTTTATCATGCAGCCTGGTTGCAGATGTTCTCGTGGCCCACACTAGTGGGGCACTCTACGGTGATATTGAGCCACATTACAAAATTATAGGCATCTCTTAACCTAACCCTAACCCTAACCCTTCTAATTTCCCACTGATTTTATTAATGTTAACGTTAGCTAGCACTCATCATCCAGGGCAGGGGTTATTATAGAGACAGGCAGCTAACATTACACTGGACAGTTCAATATTACGAACCAGGAAAACAGTAATGTTAATGAGATACATCCAGTCATACTAATTGCTAAAAATAACAATTTATTATTTTTTGTTATGTTGTTAATTAATAAGAGCCTCTTTCTGCGACTGTCCGATGCTGGACAGATGATTTACAGCCTAACTTACCGCTTTCCGTTCGTCATGTTCAATATCAAGAATGGCTTGTAAATGAATAACATTAATTTGAGAATTCAACAAATGACCTGTTAGGACTTTGTTAGGAACTGTTAGGACCTGTTAGGACTTTGTTAGGAACTGTTAGGACTTTGTTAGTACCTGTTAGGACTTTGTTAGGAACTTTTAGGACTTTGTTAGGAACTGTTAGGACTTTGTTAGGACCTGTTAGGACTTTGTTAGGAACTGTTAGGACTTTGTTAGGAACTGTTAGGACTTTGTTAGTACCTGTTAGGACTTTGTTTGGACCTGTTAGGACTTTGTTAGGAACTGTTAGGACTTTGTTAGGACCTGTTAGGACTTTGTTAGGAACTGGTAGGACTTTGTTAGGAACTGTTAGGACTTTGTTAGTACCTGTTAGGACTTTGTTAGGAACTTTTAGGACTTTGTTAGGAACTTTTAGGACTTTGTTAGTACCTGTTAGGACTTTGTTAGGACCTGTTAGGACTTTGTTAGGAACTGTTAGGACTTTGTTAGGAACTGTTAGGACTTTGTTAGTACCTGTTAGGACTTTGTTTGGACCTGTTAGGACTTTGTTAGGAACTGTTAGGACTTTGTTAGTACCTGTTAGGACTTTGTTAGGACCTGTTAGGACTTTGTTAGGAACTTTTAGGACTTTGTTAGGAACTGTTAGGACTTTGTTAGGACCTGTTAGGACTTTGTTAGGAACTGGTAGGACTTTGTTAGGAACTGTTAGGACTTTGTTAGTACCTGTTAGGACTTTGTTAGGAACTTTTAGGACTTTGTTAGGAACTGTTAGGACTTTGTTAGGAACTTTTAGGACTTTGTTAGGAACTGTTAGGACTTTGTTAGGAACCTTTAGGACTTTGTTAGGAACTGTTAGGACTTTGTTAGGACCTGTTAGGACTTTGTTAGGAACTGTTAGGTCTTTGTTAGTACCTGTTAGGACTTTGTTAGGACCTGTTAGGACTTTGTTAGGAACTGGTAGGACTTTGTTAGGAACTGTTAGGACTTTGTTAGTACCTGTTAGGACTTTGTTAGGAACTTTTAGGACTTTGTTAGGAACTTTTAGGACTTTGTTAGGACCTGTTAGGACTTTGTTAGGACCTGTTAGGACTTTGTTAGGAACTTTTAGGACTTTGTTAGGAACTGTTAGGACTTTGTTAGGACCTGTTAGGACTTTGTTAGGAACTGTTAGGACTTTGTTAGGACCTGTTAGGACTTTGTTAGGAACTGTTAGGACTTTGTTAGGAACTGTTAGGACTTTGTTAGTACCTGTTAGGACTTTGTTAGGACCTGTTAGGACTTTGTTAGGAACTTTTAGGACTTTGTTAGGAACTGTTAGGACTTTGTTAGGACCTGTTAGGACTTTGTTAGGAACTGTTAGGACTTTGTTAGGAACTTTTAGGACTTTGTTAGGACCTGTTAGGACTTTGTTAGGAACTGTTAGGACTTTGTTAGGAACTGTTAGGACTTTGTTAGGAACTGTTAGGACTTTGTTAGGAACTGTTAGGACTTTGTTAGGAACTTTTAGGACTTTGTTAGGAACTGTTAGGACTTTGATAGGAACCTTTAGGACTTTGTTAGGAACTGGTAGGACTTTGTTAGGAACTGTTAGGACTTTGTTAGTACCTGTTAGGACTTTGTTTGGACCTGTTAGGACTTTGTTAGGAACTGTTAGGACTTTGTTAGGACCTGTTAGGACTTTGTTAGGAACTGGTAGGACTTTGTTAGGAACTGTTAGGACTTTGTTAGTACCTGTTAGGACTTTGTTAGGAACTTTTAGGACTTTGTTAGGAACTTTTAGGACTTTGTTAGTACCTGTTAGGACTTTGTTAGGACCTGTTAGGACTTTGTTAGGAACTGTTAGGACTTTGTTAGGAACTGTTAGGACTTTGTTAGTACCTGTTAGGACTTTGTTTGGACCTGTTAGGACTTTGTTAGGAACTGTTAGGACTTTGTTAGTACCTGTTAGGACTTTGTTAGGACCTGTTAGGACTTTGTTAGGAACTTTTAGGACTTTGTTAGGAACTGTTAGGACTTTGTTAGGACCTGTTAGGACTTTGTTAGGAACTGGTAGGACTTTGTTAGGAACTGTTAGGACTTTGTTAGTACCTGTTAGGACTTTGTTAGGAACTTTTAGGACTTTGTTAGGAACTGTTAGGACTTTGTTAGGAACTTTTAGGACTTTGTTAGGAACTGTTAGGACTTTGTTAGGAACCTTTAGGACTTTGTTAGGAACTGTTAGGACTTTGTTAGGACCTGTTAGGACTTTGTTAGGAACTGTTAGGTCTTTGTTAGTACCTGTTAGGACTTTGTTAGGACCTGTTAGGACTTTGTTAGGAACTGGTAGGACTTTGTTAGGAACTGTTAGGACTTTGTTAGTACCTGTTAGGACTTTGTTAGGAACTTTTAGGACTTTGTTAGGAACTTTTAGGACTTTGTTAGGACCTGTTAGGACTTTGTTAGGACCTGTTAGGACTTTGTTAGGAACTTTTAGGACTTTGTTAGGAACTGTTAGGACTTTGTTAGGACCTGTTAGGACTTTGTTAGGAACTGTTAGGACTTTGTTAGGACCTGTTAGGACTTTGTTAGGAACTGTTAGGACTTTGTTAGGAACTGTTAGGACTTTGTTAGTACCTGTTAGGACTTTGTTAGGACCTGTTAGGACTTTGTTAGGAACTTTTAGGACTTTGTTAGGAACTGTTAGGACTTTGTTAGGACCTGTTAGGACTTTGTTAGGAACTGTTAGGACTTTGTTAGGAACTTTTAGGACTTTGTTAGGACCTGTTAGGACTTTGTTAGGAACTGTTAGGACTTTGTTAGGAACTGTTAGGACTTTGTTAGGAACTGTTAGGACTTTGTTAGGAACTTTTAGGACTTTGTTAGGAACTGTTAGGACTTTGATAGGAACCTTTAGGACTTTGTTAGGAACTGGTAGGACTTTGTTAGGACCTGTTAGGACTTTGTTAGGAACTGTTAGGTCTTTGTTAGTACCTGTTAGGACTTTGTTAGGACCTGTTAGGACTTTGTTAGGAACTGGTAGGACTTTGTTAGGAACTGGTAGGACTTTGTTAGGACCTGTTAGGACTTTGTTAGGAACTGTTAGGACTTTGTTAGGAACTGTTAGGACTTTGTTAGGAACTTTTAGGACTTTGTTAGGAACTGTTAGGACTTTGTTAGGAACTTTTAGGACTTTGTTAGGAACTGTTAGGACTTTGTTAGGAACCTTTAGGACTTTGTTAGGAACTGTTAGGACTTTGTTAGGACCTGTTAGGACTTTGTTAGGAACTGTTAGGTCTTTGTTAGTACCTGTTAGGACTTTGTTAGGACCTGTTAGGACTTTGTTAGGAACTGGTAGGACTTTGTTAGGAACTGTTAGGACTTTGTTAGGAACTGGTAGGACTTTGTTAGGACCTGTTAGGACTTTGTTAGGAACTTTTAGGACTTTGTTAGGAACTTTTAGGACTTTGTTAGTACCTGTTAGGACTTTGTTAGGACCTGTTAGGACTTTGTTAGGAACTTTTAGGACTTTGTTAGGAACTGTTAGGACTTTGTTAGGACCTGTTAGGACTTTGTTAGGAACTGTTAGGACTTTGTTAGGACCTGTTAGGACTTTGTTAGGAACTGTTAGGACTTTGTTAGGAACTGTTAGGACTTTGTTAGTACCTGTTAGGACTTTGTTAGGACCTGTTAGGACTTTGTTAGGAACTGTTAGGACTTTGTTAGGAACTTTTAGGACTTTGTTAGGAACTGTTAGGACTTTGTTAGGAACTTTTAGGACTTTGTTAGGAACTGTTAGGACTTTGTTAGGAACCTTTAGGACTTTGTTAGGAACTGTTAGGACTTTGTTAGGACCTGTTAGGACTTTGTTAGGAACTGTTAGGTCTTTGTTAGTACCTGTTAGGACTTTGTTAGGAACTGTTAGGACTTTGTTAGGAACTGTTAGGACTTTGTTAGGACCTGTTAGGACTTTGTTAGGAACTGTTAGGTCTTTAATAGTACCTGTTAGGACTTTGTTAGGACCTGTTAGGACTTTGTTAGGAACTGTTAGGACTTTGTTAGGACCTGTTAGGACCTTGTTAGGAACTGTTATGACCTGTTAGGACTTTGTTAGGAACTGTTAGGATCTGTTAGGACTTTGTTGGGAACTGTTTGGACTTTGTTAGGAACTGTTAGGAACTGTTAGGACTTTGTTAGGAACTGTTAGGAACTGTTAGGACTTTGTTAGGAACTGTTATGACCTGTTAGGACTTTGTTAGGAACATTTAGGACTTTGTTAGGACCTGTTAGGATCTGTTAGGACTTTGTTAGGAACTGTTATGACCTGTTAGGACTTTGTTAGGAACTGTTAGGATCTGTTAGGACTTTGTTGGGAACTGTTAGGACTTTGTTAGGAACTGTTAGGAACTGTTAGGACTTTGTTAGGACTTTGTTAGTACCTGTTAGGACTTTGTTAGGACCTGTTAGGACTTTGTTAGGAACTGTTAGGACTTTGTTAGGAACTGTTATTAGGACTTTGTTAGGAACTCTTAGGACTTTGTTAGGAACTGTTAGGACTTTGTTAGGAACTGTTATGACCTGTTATGACTTTGTTAGGAACTGTTATGACCTGTTATGACTTTGTTAGGAACTGTTAGGACTTTGTTAGGAACTGTTATGACCCGTTATGACTTTGTTAGGAACTGTTAGGACTTTGTTAGGAACTGTTAGGACTTTGTTAGGAACTGTTATTAGGACTTTGTTAGGAACTCTTAGGAACTGAGTTAGCAGGCCGATCCAGGTAAAGCTATAAAATTAGATGGTGGTTTGTGTTTCTAATATGTCCAGTTAAATACAGTTATCATTAAGATTGGCATAGTCACAGACCTTCTCGCCACCCTCACTAGTGATTTAGTCAGGGTCACGTGACAGAAGCACGCGCCGTCATCCCCGCATACAGGAAGCAGGCTGCAGTCAGGTTGCCCTACTGCAAAATAAGTGTGTTTTTAATCAGGAGTCCAGCTGTAAGATGGGGATAGAAGCTTGGTACATGGACAGCTTGGAAGAGGATCAGAGAAAGCCGCATAGACTGAACCCAAATCAGCCCGTTTCTGAGGATGATTTAAAAAAGCTCGGGGTGTTTCATTGGAAGGTAAAGTTACCAAGTGCTCTGCTCTCCACGCTGCTGACCCAGCTGTGCGATTATGTGTTTTATGTAACGTATATGTAGTTTCTTAAATCACAGTTTCTGTCAACACTTATTCGGTCTCGATAGCCATTGTGACCGAGAACACCTACAATTTCCAGCAGATATGTCGACATTTCTGCTGTAACGTTGGTTTTAAATTGTTGCGAGTATAACGGTCTGCAACGTGTGTTTTCCCATGTTGCAGACACAAAAACACATGTTCCAGATAATATAACAAGTAATCAAGTTTTAGGGCTTGTGGAATTAAATACCCAAATTTAACGTTACTGCTGGCTAGCCCCAGTTTGACCACAAATTACCATATGCATTATTACAGAGGCACAAACAGAGGCTATCTGCTAGCATGGGATTTGCTGTTGTGATGTGCTGTGTGATTAATACATTACCAAATAGATTTTACTCCGTGGAATTACTTTCCACAGATGAGTTTGATCACTGATTACAGTCGTCCTGTTGTTGCAGCTGAATGCTGATATCTATGAATCAGATCCAGAACTTGAGCAGATCCGTAAAGACCAAGGCTACTCCTATATGGACATTATCACTATTCACAAGGACACACTACCTAACTATGAGGAGAAGGTAACCCACACTGCAAAAGCTGGACATCACACAATATCTTCCAACTATTTTTTTGAATTCTGAGAAACTGTGACTTTGTTAGAGAAGAGTGTTCAAACAGTTGAATCTTAACTAGAGTGATGTGAAATGTCCTTCCTGCATTAGAAGATTTTATGAGCTATGAAAAATGAATATAATGCTCTACAGTGGTTAATGGCCTTTTTATATGAGCATCGTTGTCAGTCACTGGTGAAGACAATGACGGGACATCTGGGTGTTTTTCACTCATATTTTGTCTTTTTGTGTCTGTCCTCTCAGCTGAAGATGTTTTTTGAAGAGCACCTGCACTTGGATGATGAGATCCGCTACATCCTTGACGGCCAGGCCTACTTTGATGTCAGGGACAAGGAGGACCGATGGATCCGAATTGACATGGGCAAGGGAGACCTGATAACCCTGCCGGCCGGCATCTACCATCGTTTCACCCTGACAGAGACCGTACGTAGCATACATGAAGCGTCATTGATGTAGAGACACTTTCATAAACATGACTGTAGTAGCTTTTTGGCTATCTTGGGAAGTGTACATGTTCAACACTGACACTGTTAAAAACACAATTTAAATAATGCCGGAGGAGAAATTGGGATTGTTGCTTGAGGAAAGAATGATATTTGAACAAGACTAGAGCAAATATTTAGAGCACAACCCAACTGGTATTTCTTTACAGCAGAATAGAAACAAAAAAGGTGCAGATGTGCTTTATGAAATAGTATTTATATTACCAAACGTAAGAAATGTAATTCTCATTAACATTTACAACAGAATACAGACTTTGTGCATTATAGTTACAGCATTACTATTTCCTCAAAGCGCAGCAGCTGTGTCACTACTGTTAGCATTGTCATAACTGTTGCCATCGGCATGTGAAGCTGTGTTTGTTTCTGCACATTAAGTTTACTTTTACATAAAGTCAGTTGTTAAGTCAGTTAGACTACTTAACGGCAGCTAATTCATTAGCTCCTGACTAGCTGAATGCTAAATGAGTTAGTTTCTGTAAGGAAGGCTCACAAGCAGGGACAAGTGTAGGACCAAATGATGAAGCCACATTCAGACTGATCTGAAAACTGTTTGTTTCTACAGAACTACACTAAAGCCATGAGGCTGTTTGTGGGAGAGCCGGTGTGGAAAGCTTACAACCGGCCCGCTGATGACTTTGACATCCGTCAGAAGTACGTGGTTTCTCTGCAGGGATCCTGAGAGTGAGCTGCAGCACACTAAATACTTTCAATGTCACTTGCACAGTTAGATTTTGATTCTACTGACAAAACATGAGCAGATAATAAAATCAGATAATTAACTACCCATTTAAGTTTATAAAGTTGTTAAAATTAGTTTCACATCAACCAGATACAGTTAAATGTTGTTTCCAGGTTAATGCATCAGGAATAATGAAATAAATAGATACCCCATTTTCAAAGGGGTCATTCTGTATGGGTACTTATAGCAGGACTTTGACTAAGAATGGATCGTCACTTCCTTCTGTTTAGGTTCAGAATATTTCTTTCACCACAGGATAATCTGTAGTGCCTTATTCTCATAAATTGGTTGTATTGTGTTAGGTGCTATCAAACTTACCCTCAACAGCATGTTATAAAGAATGCCACTAATAAGTAGTATTTTCAAATTTCCTGTTCAGATCTCTCTGAATCAAAAGTGAGAGATGTTACTTGACCAGTCTGTACTAATGGGGTGGAGAGTCTCTGACTGATGGCTATTATTACCATTACCTTTTCTGGTTTATGGAAAATAAAGTTGCTGCTATTTCCGTCTGTGTTTTGTTTTTCATTCTCTTTCCAATAAACTGGACAAGTTGGTTTGAAATAACAGTTTTATTAAAGAGAAAACAAATTGTATTTTGTAATATACATAAATATGATTAACACAATATGTAAACATTGATCATTAAAGAGCCACCAGGACAAATCAATAAAAGACTTAATACAATTATTTTTCATATTTTCATTTAAACAGAAAAAAAGTACAATTTTGGATTCCTAATATTTTACATTATTGTTTAGTGGACAGGATATGGTGCTATCTTAAGGACTGATTTATTTTCACTGCATGAGTCTGAGCTCACTGAAGCTCAGGATAATGCCCACATCAAGTCTCACATTATGAGTCTGCAACTCCCTTTGAACTACCACCAGTCTGTAGAGCAATATACATCTATGTTCTGAGATCTCTCTTACATTCTCAGTGCTTAATTTGATGATTCCTCTGTAGTGGTTTGACTGGAATTCTTTAATAAAAATGAAACAATTTGGAGGTATAGGTTGACATTTTGGGAAATATTTTTCTTTGCGTACAGAGATATAGAAGAGAAGATCAATTCCACTCTCATGGCTGCGTGCTAAATATGAAGCTAGAGTAGAGCAGCTGGTTAGCTTAACTTAGCATAAAGACTGAAAGCAGGGGGATACAGCTAACATGTAAAAACCACAATTTGTGGACTGTTTCTTGGACACGTGAGGGACAATAACCTGCATGGTGGGAGTCACATGTAAGCTAAAGGCAGCTGAAGGCATCAGTAGTTTAAACGACCTACTGCACTCCATTTTTTTGTGTTTATTTTGGACAAAGCAGTTCCTTAACACTGTGAGAGAAAGACTGGTAACAAGCCAACATCCCTACAAAACATGAATCCTTGATCAGATTTTGAAAACTTTTTCCAATTTTTCCCTTATCCTTATCCAGTGAAAGAACTCCCATCAGTTCTGTTCACAATGTCTGGATGTATAAATATCAGACAATGAAGAGGAAATAGCTAATTTTAGTAGAAAGACAAAAAAACTTAGTGAAATGTATACATTTTTAAATAAAAATACAAGATTACAGTAGTGACAGTAACATGCTTGCAGATTAGCTCGCTACTGATAGTGCGAGTGATGTACTCCTGTCGGTCATGTGACCCTTAGCATGACATAGTAGTGGTCCCTTGAGAGTAGGTGAATTTTATTTAACTTTTAGACAGAGTCAGGCTAGCGGTTTCTCTGTTTCCAGCTTTACTGCCAAGCTAACTGCCTACTAGCTGTAGCTTAATATTTACGGTACGTGAGAGTGGTATCGATTCTCTCATCTAACACATGACAAGAAAGCAAATAAGTACATTTTCCAAAATGTCAAACTATTTCTTTTATCTGTAAACTAAAAATAACATCCTCCTGCACACACAGGTCTTTTATAGGGCCGTTTCTTTTCCAAAACGTCACTCCACCAGCATGAGTGAGCAGGCCACCGTTTCTGTTGCTGTAAGTAAATGTGCGAATCCTTTCTGGGTCACCCTTCAGAAGGATGGGAGTGCCGTGCCCCCTGTAAACACAAAGTAAAATGTGTACCTGGGCTTGGCTTTCCACATCCATTTAGTAAGAATATAACCAGTTTTAAAAGATCTTGTATCAACTTGCTTTTGGGAAAACAAACCAATCACTAAACATTTACTTTTCTGTCACCTCACTCCCATAGGAGCCAGAGCTTTTTACTCCTCTACTGATTCTTCGCTTGGAGTTTTATTCCCTGTCACAACGGAGGAGAAAGCAGTTGTGTGTGTCCCTCAGTTCACCCTCTTGCTCCTAGACTAGTTTGAGGCACTGTGTGTTGAAGCTGTCCCCCTCCCGGCAGGCCACAGCCTCCAGCAGAGCCTGCTTCTTCTGGGTGCTGCGAGACGACTCCAGCTCGTACATAGTGGTCAGGTTGAAAAGGACGCTCTCGTGGAGGTAGAGTGCGGGGTCCTGCTGCACCAGGCCCTCCAGCTGGCCCAGGGACTCCTTCAGACGGCCTAGATAGAGCAGGCACACCGCTGCGTTGTTGTTGGCCTGGGAACGTACAGAGGGAAGGAACGCGTGAGGACAGAAGAGTTTGAATGTGAACTTACCATCAACAGTATCATTTTATTTGTTATGAAGCTGCTGTTGAGCTTTTGGGGTTGAATTTGAATTTCTGTCCCACAAGTCAAATGACACAGAGCACGGCGTCCTGGGTGAGCTACAGTACAGTAAAGTTTCAAACCTTGGCCCACCATTTCACTGACTGTACTGAGCAAAGTGCACTATGAACAGACGTTGCAGACCTGGGTGGATGATAAACTGTTGTTAGTCAAAAATTTGTTTCAACTCCCTGTAAAAGTAAAAATTGTCATTTTTATAATTTCTGTTTGTGTATTGATTACACAAATAAGATACAATGTGTTAATTAGTAAGCTTTGGCATACTGATTCACTTTGGACAGAGCAAGGCTAGCTGTTTACCCCTGCTTTCAGTCTTCATGCTGAACCCAGCTAACCATGTCCTATTACTATAATAAAATGATACAATAAAATAATTAATTTCCCCCAGTATGTAATTTGAGCTGCATTATAAAGCTGTTGCAGAGTTAAAGAAACATGTATATTACAGTGTTTGTGGTAGCACTTACAACGGGATTTTTGGGGTCAATTTTCAACACATCAATGAAGGATGCGTGTGCTTCAGTGTAGTTGTTCTGACTGAGGTAAACAAAAGCCCTGGAAAACAAACAAACACACACAGTCACTACATCTACAAACAGTACTGATAATACCACAACACGAAAAGGAAAATTCTGTCGGTTTATCATTGCCAAGAAGTTGATGTCAAACTTTTTACAATGGGCAGATTGTATTTACATAAAATATGATAAGGCTAATGTTGAAAAAAACTCAACAGAATGATTCTTTACAGTGCCATGTAAACTACAGCAGAACAAGCTGTAAACAACATATTATCACCTCTTAAGTTGATATGGCGAACATGTTAGTAAAGACTTGTTTATTCACACATCCATCAGACACGTTCTTTGGGCTTGTGTTTCTGGCCACCTGACAAACTGCCTCTGGTGTCTGGAAACAACGCTGATGGGAGCACCATAACAGTAAAGTGACGGGCGGCAAAAAACAAAACAATACGCTGTGTTGAGCTGAGGGAAACTCAGCTGATGATTCTCTGTGGGTTTGTCACTACATGCAAAATCTGTCATATACAAGTAGTCATTTGATGTATTGGTAATATAAAAATAATGCTTATGGCATCTTTAAAGAGCAACTTACCACCTGACTTTAACAGGAACATCCCCTTTACATAAGCCTGACCCCTGACACTTTAACTCGCTCTCCAAGTTCCTGTCACCTTTCAGTTTTAATCAGTCACAAGACAATTCTGACCCAACTACTGAGTGAAAGTCTGGTGTTTGTTGACACTGACCTGACATATACAGGTGCTGGTCATATAATTAGAATATCATCAAAAAGTTGATTTATTTCAGTAATTCCATTCAAAAAGTGAAACTTGGATATTATATTCATTCATTACACACAGACTAATATATTTCAAATGTTTATTTCATTTAATTGTGATGATTAAAACTGACAACTAATGAAAATCCCAAATTCAGTATCTCTGAAAATTAGAATATTACTTAAGACCAATACAAAAAAAGGATTTTTAGAAATGTTGGCCAACTGAAAAGTATGAAGATGAAAAGTATGAGCATGTACAGCACTCAATACTTAGTTGGGGCTCCTTTTGCCTGAATTACTGCAGCAATGCGGCGTGGCATGGAGTCGATCAGTCTGTGGCACTGCTCAGGTGTTATGAGAGCCCAGGTTGCTCTGATAGTGGCCTTCAGCTCTTCTGCAATGTTGGGTCTGGTGTATCGCATCTTCCTCTTCATAATACCCCATAGATTTTCTATAGGGTTAAGGTCAGGCGAGTTTGCTGGCCAATTAAGAACAGGGATACCATGGTCCTTAAACCAGGTACTGGTAGCTTTGGCACTGTGTGCAGGTGCCAAGTCCTGTTGGAAAATGAAATCTGCATCTCCATAAAGTTGGTCAGCAGCAGGAAGCATGAAGTGCTCTAAAACTTCCTGGTAGACGGCTTGGACCTCAGAAAACACAGTGGACCAACACCAGCAGATGACATGGCACCCAAACCATCACTGACTGTGGAAACTTTACACTGGACTTCAAGCAATGTGGATTCTATGCCTCTCCTCTCTTCCTCCAGACTCTGGGACCTTGATTTCCAAAGGAAATGCAAAATTTACTTTCATCAGAGAACATAACTTTGGACCACTCAGCAGCAGTCCAGTCCTTTTTGTCTTTAGCCCAGGCGAGACGCTTCTGACGCTGTGTCTTGTTCAAGAGTGGCTTGACACAAGGAATGCGACAGCTGAAACCCATGTCTTGCATACGTCTGTGCGTGGTGGTTCTTGAAGCACTGACTACAGCTGCAGTCCACTCTTTGTGAATCTCCCCCACATTTTTGAATGGCTTTTGTTTCACAATCCTCTCCAGGGTGCGGTTATCCCTATTGCTTGTACACTTTTTTCTACCACATCTTTTCCTTCCCTTGGCCTCTATTAATGTGCTTGGACACAGAGCTCTGTGAACAGCCAGCCTCTTTAGCAATGACCTTTTGTGTCTTGCCCTCCTTGTGCAAGGTGTCAATGTTGAACCTTTTCACAATATTCTAATTTTCTGAGATACTGATTTTGGGGTTTTCATTAGTTGTCAGTTATAATCATCAACATTGAAAGGAATGAACACTTGAAATATATCAGTCTGTGTGGAATGAAGTTCCCTTTTTGAATGAAATTACTGAAATAAATCAACTTTTTGACGATATTCTAATTATATGACCAGCACCTGTAATGCTTATAGCAGTGAACAATTATGCTAAAGGGTCGTGGAACCAGGTTGATCTCCACCATCTGTGGCAGTCAGGAAAAATAAAACAGAATTCCCCACACTGCGAACTTCTGTAATTATGTGTCTTGATAAGGGGTCGTGGATCAGGTCAGAGTTAATGGGATGCTGCCGAGGACTTCAGGGGTGTGGAGGACAAGATTCAACAATATTCTCACAGACTTTGAGGACAGGAGTATTTTCTCTGAATAAAGAACTGTAGTTTTTTACTTTACGCACAGCTCTATATTTATTGTTCACATTTGTCCTGTTGTATATTTCTAAAACAATGTAAAAGTGTATAACTAAAACAACAACAGAATGCTATGAAAAACATGACTGTATGACGACATCAATCACCTGGCTTTGTGAAGTGAGCATCAATACTCTCTGAGAGAGTGAGGTAGGTTGTCACCTGAGCTTTACCTCAGACTCTACATCTCCCCAGGCCAGAGCTACACAGGTGTGACCTCCTGTGCTAAATCACACGCCAGGAGGAAGCACGAACCTGCAAAAAGCCCTGAAGGAAGCACTGCTACCATGGAGCGAAAATGATCCTGAGCAGCATAAAGTACACACATGCTGCATGGAGGTGCTAAATGCATGACACACACATACCTGTTCATCAGCACGCATGTGGTGTGGCTGGGCTGGCTCCCTTTCATCTGGCAGGCTTTCTCCACATCCTGAAAGTACCTCTCTGCTGTTTTAACATCTCCGATCTGGCCAAGAACAAAGTAGCAGCAACACATTAACCACTGATGTGTGTGTGTGTGTGTGTGTGTATTGTAAATACAGGGCAAGCACAAATAAATTAGATTAGATTTCGTGATCCCCCAGGGAAAACTGACTCTTTGCATCAGCAGAGACTACATACAAGAACATTACTAGAGAGAGATTTTTTCTAACAAAACAAACATAACTCTGATGATAGTACAAAACGCCGGAGTAGTAAAGTTGGAATCCATCCAGGTTTCCAGAAGTAAAAGTCCCGTTCATTTTCTCTGTAGGCAACATTATTTGACCAGCAATTGGAGCACTTCCACATTTGGCGACACGTGTGCATCTATTTGGACTCCCACATAAAACAAACTTCAAGGATCGCCCTTTTCACCCATGTAACAATGAAAAATGCTAAAATCAGACATCATGTCACAATGATGCAGAAAAACTACCACACATTTGTCACTTCTAGGCTGGATTATTGCAATTCCTTGTTATCAGGCTGCTCAATTAAGTCCCTTAAGACTCCAGTTAATCCAGAATGCTGCAGCACGTGTTCAGACAAGAACCAGGAAAGGAGATCATATTTCTCCCATATTAACTTTTCTGCACTGGCTCCATGTAAAATCCAGAATAGAACTTAAAATCCTTCTGCTCATCAACAAATACTTTAATGGCCAAACACAATCTTATCTGAAAGAGCTCATAGTACATTATCACGCGACTACACCACTGCGCTCCTAGAATGCAGGGTTACTTGTGGTTTCTACAGTGTCCGAAAGTAGACTGGGAGCCAGAGCGTTCAGCTATCAAGCTCCTCTACTGTGGAACCAGGTTCCAGTTTGGGTTCAGGAGGCAGACACCATCTCCACATTTAAAAGTAGGCTTAAGACTTTCCTCTTTGATAAAAGCTTATTGTTAGAGCTGAGTCCTGAACCATCTCTTAGTTATACTGCTATAGACCTAGACTGCTGGAAGACTTTTCATGATGCATTGAACTCATCTTTCCTTCTTTTACTTTCCATCTGTAGGAAATCTTTTCACATTAATGCATGGTACTAACTCCTTCCCTCTCCCGTAGTTTTGTGTTTTCTCGTCTCTCTTCTCGGTGTTTCTGCCTCCAGAGCTGTAGAGTCTGGATCTGTGGTTGCAAGCCACCTACTATTCTCATGTCCTGCTCCACACCTGTTGCTATTATTATTATTGCTATCAATATGAATACTACTATTCATGTTTATTGATATTTGTATTATTGAGGTTCTGCTTAAGGTCTTTGCCTGTTAAAAGGGATTTTTTCCTTGCCACTGTTGCCAAATGCTTGTATGGTGGGAATTGTTGGGTCTCTGTAAATAATATTACAAAGAGTACTCCCTAGACCTGCTCTATAGTGCAGTGAGATCATTTCTTTCGACATTCTTACCAACATTCAACTAGTTGGAAGTCAAAAGTAGGGATGTCTTTATCACTACGTTTGACTGAGTTTGGTCCTGATTCCAATCAGAATTATTTGATTTTTTTTCTCCCCCAAGACTTAAATGAAAAAGGTCCATATCAATCTCATGTCCGTGCGTTAAATAGGGGGAGTTACGTGCTGTAACTACTTCTGGCAAACAACAGCTAGACGCAGAGCCTTCATAGTCTAATCTTGATATATGACCGTATATCTGACGGCACTCTTTCCACTGTAGAATTTCTCCCTTTAAAATCTCTGGTTGTGTTGGACCACCACCACTGAGCAGGTCTGGACCCAATATTGCTTTTTATTAATGACTTTTTGCACCAATTCAATGAAGTACCTTGATATATCAGGTATTTTATTTGCTGGATTAGCCAAAAATAGAAACAGTGTGGTTACTGAGAGGTGAGGATGGCTGTGTCTGCTCAGGGAATCAGTGTCTGATAATCTATCCATGGTGTGTATATGGTATATGCGTGCGTGTTAACATGCAGACCTGCAAGAAGATGCGTCCTATGCCACTGAGCAGCTGCACTTTCTGCTGGGGTTCATACTGGATGATGGAGTGATAGGTCTCCACAGCCAGAACATAGTCCTGAGAGAGAGAGAGAAAATAAACAATAAAAATACAAAAGTGAAAGTGGATGGATATGGAAGTAAAGAGAAGGTAAGAGTATGTGAGTAAGGTAAAATGAGGTTAACAGCAGAAGGCAGAGACAGGTGGAGGGCGAGCGAGGTAAAGAAGAGCAGAGTTGAGGTGTGGAGAGAGAGAGGGCATTAATCAAACATGTGGAGTATTAGCGGGCGTTGTGACCCTCCTCCCACCTCTACAGTGCTCTGCTGCACATCGCTCACATGGTGACTGGACTGTTGAGGGGGCGACTGAGAGAGGTCAGTGAGGTGTGTGTGTGTACTGGGGCACAGGTGCATGTATGTGTGTATTACAATATAGTTTTTTTGTGTGTTTTGACTGTTCTGGCTCAGTTTTCTCAAGTTTCCAAAATGACCAAAATACCGCTGCTGTGTATCTAAGGGCTCATATTTCATTCCTCTGTGCCATAGAGCTCCATTGTTGTCCAGAAACTATTAAAAACACACCGCGCCCCAGTAGCTTACCGGGTATAGCTGCATGTCATCCCTTCTCCTTCTCCCACCTTTCCTGTCTCTCTTTATACAATAACAGCAAAAATGCCCCCCAAAATAATGAATATTTTAAAAACAAAAACCCTAACAGTGAGCCATAATGTTGGATAACATGAACAACTGTAGTTTATTTTGACTCAATCCCACATACACCATCCTGCTGCCCCAAATACTCACTGGAGCACCAAATGTAGATTATTCTGCTTCTGAAAATAATGCTCAACTAATATATTACTTCCTACTTTGACTAACATTTGCTAAAAACTACAGTGGCCAGCTCAGGAAATGGCTGAGGTTTTTCAAACAAATGAACATATCCTATATTTGTGAGCCGTTTTTAAAGATTTCAGTATGAACCAAGTCTCTAAGGGCTGAGTGCCACAGACGGGGCAGGAAAGTCTGAATGTACTGAGAGAAGAACCAACACATTGTTGCTTTCTGTCTTTCAATGGGATTTGTTGACAAAAAAAAAAAAAAAGTAGAACAATACGATTTAAAAAACTAACTACAAATGTACACACAATATTATTGTTGAACATTTTCCCTTTTGATTAAGGTATTGTTTTCCATTGACACTGGAGACTAGCTTGAGTTGTGTTCCATCACACTGAACACATCATGTCTAACTTGACGTTTTGTTCCAATATAGTGATGCGTTAACACCTGTTTTAAGTGCATAATGACGTGAAAGGTGTACACAACATTTCCTTCCATAGATAATAAAACTGTGGGCTTAACATTCACTGTGATAGAGTACCCAACCCAAGTAAGTTTTTAAAAAATCAGCCATTTAATTCTCCTCACAGTGAATAGAAACTAGAGGTTGCCTGAAAGGTATCAAAAAATAAATTTTAACACCTTAAGCATGGTTTGATAAACAGTCAACCGTAATATGAAGCATGTATGATTTGTAGTAAATGTGCTACCAGATGCAAAATCACTGATCCTTTAAAGGTTAGAGTTTGGTTTATTGAAAGGGAAATGGAGCCAAAGCAATTGAATATGCTGTCATCTCAGTTCTCACCAATAGATGGCACTGTGGTTCTCTCTAGTGTCTGATCCCAACCTACACCCCCCCAACCTCTCTCGCTCACTCATTCGCTCTCTCTCTCGTTCTCTCTCTCACTGACCAAGAATCCAATTAGTGGTCAGTCTGGGGGGATTTCACTGTGAATCCTCCACCAGCCTGGCATCAGAGATCTCACACTCACTCACACACACACACTCACACACACACACTCACACACACACACACACACACACACAGGCAGACTCAAGACACTCATACAGGGAGACATTCACTCCAACACACCATGACACACAAACTTGAGCAGACAAACACACACACATACCTTCATCAGCAGCAGACAGTTGGCCATGGAGTACATGACCCGGCTGAGGCGAGACCTCCACAGCTTAAGAGACACTAAACAGGGGAGAGAAGAAGAAGTCAGACAGACAGAGTTTATTTCCTTAAAGGGTGTCTTCTTAGTTTTGTTTCACCTCTCTTTAGGGCGTCCCTCTAATGTCACCCCACTCTTCCATCCTTCACTCTCTTATCCCTCCATCCCTCTCATTACACCTCCCCTCTCCTCCTCTCCACCCCCTCAACACCCGGGTTTATTTTAAGGTGAGGAAAACACTGCAGCACACTTTCCTCTTTTCCCTCAGACAGAGCTCCCTGCGAAAGAGCTTGTGTGCAGGCCTATTAGTATTCATCGCTGCACACGTGCGTGTGTGTGTGTGTGTGTGTGTGTGTTGGAGGGAGAGCTAATCACTCAGTAGGGGTCTGATGTGTGAAGGCAAGGCCCTGCGTTATTGACTTGACTGTCGACTGTCTGCGTGGGCAGAGAGAGGAGAGACAGAGGGCACAGCTATTACACTGCTTTTAGAAGGGGGAGAAACTGGCAGAACCGGCACACCCTCACACATACATTCGTACACGCATCATCCTGCCAATTTTCCCAATTAAAAGCAAGTGTCTTAGTACATTTAGCTCAACTTCACCAAGTCTTGTTGTTCATCTCCCTGAATTAGCTGATTAAATGGCTTCTTGTCGCTTTTAACACACTAAAAGAAAAACACACCGCCTTTGGAAAAGTTGCTGAATTAATGGTCACAGGACTTGCAAACATAGGACTCAGAGAACACTGCATTAAGATGCATGGCTATGGTGAGAAAATCTGAGAGATGAGAAGAGTAGATGAAGTCTATTAACATCAGGTTTTGTGGAGGTGTGTCTACCTAGAACTGGTGAGTTTCAGATAAAAGGTACTTGCGTATTTCCCCAGCACACACCAGCAGATGTGAGAGGATTGGATAGGATTGATCTGTATTGATCTGCTTGGCGTGAAGGGCTGGAGAGACCATTTGATATTCAGCGTGAGTACCGGAGCAGTGAGGTGCTAAACACTTTTAGAGCACTGCATTGGTGTGTTTGTGTGGCTGAAAGTGTGTGTATGTGTGGCCGAGGTATGCTGCAGTCCTGCACCAGGTGTACCTCTGCCTCAGTGGTTGTGTGTGTGTGTGTGTGCGTGTATTACCCTCTGGGGCCCATGACCTCACTCTCCTCCCACAGTGTGACGCAGGTCTGGTACTGGGGCCAGGTCTATGTGTGAGCTTGTGTGTGCTTACCTTGCCGGTTCTCCTGTGTTAGAGTGATCATGCTGCCATCCTCAGCCAAGCCCTTCTCCAAGTTCTCCAGAATCTGTAAACGGATGACAGAGGGAGAAGTTGCTTCACTGCCAGTGCTGGAAGCTTTTTAAGTGCGTGTATTAGAATCTGCATATTCACTCTAAAATCCAACCATATTTGGCTGTTTACACAGGTGGGCTTAAGGATTTTTATGGCTAATGTGCTTTTCTGTGGGTGTGTAGTTTTTGTGTGAATACAACCCAGTTTGCATATCTTTATGTTCATCCAGAGGCTGTGTTTGTGTGTGTGTTACTAACAGTGAGGCAGACAGTTTTGAGATTGTGCAGGCGGTCCAGAGCCTCCTGGGGCTTGGCCAGGTACTGGGGAAGCTCGGCGTGGAGCAGCCGCATGGAGAACGGCACCATGGAGCCTGGACAGGAAGGGGAGGGGGGGGCCGGGGGTGTACAAGAACAAAACAGGAGACAGAAGGAGAAAATGTTTGAGGGAAAGGGGAAAATAAGAAACAGGGTGGGATGAGGACATAACAGGAGAGAGAGAGAGAGAGAGAGAGAAGAAAAAAGAGGGAAGGCGGAGAGAGACAGAAAGACACAGAGTGCGAGATGAGAATATAAACCCATCCTCCCACACACAGACTGCACACAGCCCTGGAGGCAGGAACCTACAGATGGCATTGAGCTACGTATGGCTGCTTATTAAAGCCTCTCATCTCTGTGTGTGTGTGCTGCACAGCGCCATCACTCATCTTTCTGCCTCATCCCTCTGTCTCTCGCTATCTCTACATCATTCACACTGTCTCACACACATGCAGAGCCACACATATCCCTGAGGAAGAGTCTATACTCAGGTGAGTCCCTGGGCTTTGATCAGGGTCTCTTTGATATTGTCATCAGATCTAAAGATCAGCTAGCTGGTCCGTCTTTCGCTCCTGCTTCTGTCTGTGTATCTCAATTTCTATCTCTCTTGTCTATCTTCTTGTGCTTTCTGCTACCCTTTCTACAGTACAAAATACAAACTAATTTCCCCCAATTTACCCCAGTGTCCAGTGTGCTCTCTTTTGGTTTGATTATTTGTTCTGTCTCTCTTGGGTTTCAGCAAGATTTACCAGCTTAGCATGACGACTTTTAATACCGTTACAGTGTCAGAATTAAGTGTTAATAACAGAGAAGAAATACAACCCATGAAACCCCAAACATAGAAAAGACCTCGAAAACTAAATTTAGCCAATTTAGGAAGCTGCTTAAGAAGCTGTGTCGCACCAACCAATTTTATATAACTCTACTCTGTCGGAGTGTAAAGTGGCAAAGTCTGCAGGCAGTTGTGATACAGGAGTTGATGTTCCAATAGGGGTGTGCCATCTCTCACTGTTCACAATATATCTGTATAATTTTTAATATGATTTTAACAAATTCATGTCGTGATAATGACAGTATTCAGACTTGTTGACGAGAAGTCGCCATACTGTTTCACTGTGCAACAACAAGCATGGCTGAAAGCAAAAGTAACATTGCTACGAGCTCCACGGTAAAGGAAGTACAACAACATATTTTACCAACTCAAGCACAAGCACCTGGCTGAATATGAGAGAGAAAGAAGAACTTTCATTATTTTGTCATATTGTCAAGAATATCATTATCGCAGAAATACCCTGATATATCGTGATATCATTTTAGGGCCATATTACCCCGCCTATAGTATAAATATATTTCTTGAATAAACTGTGTTTCTGGCAAGTTAGCAAACTGGTAGATGGCAAGCCAACTAGCTACTGTGGTTCATTGTGGGCTATGCCAGCTGCAGTAGTTTGCTTACTATCCCTGCAAATAGACACAAGCAGGGACACAGCTACCACTGAGAATTCCTCAGCAACATGTCGAGTTAGTTAGGGGTTATTCTACAACTATACACAGAGTACACATGTTGGATTTATAAAGCTGATTTGATAATATTTTCTTTTGTATTTTAAAATATGACAATTTTTAGGACAAAAATAAAACAAGTCAAACTAAAAGGGATTTAGTGTTTTCCAACATAATTACATACCTGACAGTGTAGAGAAGGCTTTGAAAGTAAACTTTAGACCATAATGTAAGTAGTTAAAATGTATAGAAAATGTAATTAAACAAGCAAACTAATAAATAAAAGTTTAGTATTATTTTAGTATTTTAGTATAAAATCTAAATATATGAATTCACGATTTCCAAAATCCTGGCTCAACGTCACCAACTTTCCAGCCACACTTATTTTGCATAGATGTGTGAAATTTGCTGTATCCCTTTCTGGTCGTCAGTTGGTGGCAGATGGGCGCCACAAAAAACTGAGCAATGCGCCAACAAAAGGCAGGGAAAAAGAGGACTGCTAGCAAAAGCAAATGTAACAATGCAGGTTCAAAAGAAAAAAAAATTAAAAATTTCTTTGGAAATGAGTTACATGCACAGAAACACTTTTTGCACATTTGTGATACACATATTTTGGTGAAAACACTGAATGTAAACAGAACTGTGTTTGGCATCATCATATCTAAGAACTTTAAATTCAATTTCAAACACTTGGACCAGCACTAACTGTCTGCCTCAGCATATTAATACATTTCCCCAGTCTAGTCTGCATGCTCATCTTTTTGTTTGGCTGACATTAAACCAATTGACTCTGACTTTCAAAAGCAGAGACGGATACTCATCCAGCCGATGAATAAAAGCACAGACCCCCTTTTCAAAAGAGGCCGGGTTAGCATTTGACCACAAGTTCATTTCATGCAGCCTGTGAGAAGACTGATGCATCTCTCTCTTACTTTACTGATTAAAACATAAAAGAAATTCAGATGAAAGTAAAATATAAAGATACAGCTTTAAAAATGACATATGAATGCTACTTGTCAGGCCTGCGGCATTTAGGTCTTAACATTTCTGTGTCCAAATTCGGACCCAACTTTTCATTTGGCAAACAAATTAATAACTGACAAACATTGATTCCTTTTCTACCGCTCAGTCGATCTTAATTCTTCAGAGAGTGGTACATGGGCAGCCGTCTCTTAAGGCGTTCAAAGAGTGTGATCATGGGTAATGGATAGTCGATTCAAGCGTTGGGCCAGAGAAATGTTCAACTTCTGATGCCAGGCTACACAACTCGTGCCAGTTTGCTTGCGAGCACCTAGCGGGGCACAAAGTGTTTAAATTGAGCAATGGAAAGTCAATCGGTGCTCTCTTTAGAAGTGTGCTATTCTGTTTTTTCTACGAGTGTGTGTGTGTGCGCGCAGCTGTCTCTCTGCTACTGCCTTCACTGTGGTAGCCCGAGGGGCGAAGCAGATCCAAAGTAATGGGAATACATTAGGGAGCAATTCATGCATTGAAAAAAAGAGGAAAAACAAAACCAAAGAACTGTTGGAGACAAGAAGAGTTGTTGGAGCTTCTCGACAATACAGTCTAATATCAAGCTCCTGGCAGAAACTTTCCTTTGAATATTTAATAGGACAGTGGTGGTATGCTTGTGTATCCTAAAAACGTGGGTAAAATGTAAAATCCTTCTGGAGAGCAGGCAAATAACACATTTAAAACTCACAGATAAGAGTTTCACAGCAACCTTTCAGCATTATCATGAATGAATGCTATTCAACCTTCAGTCAGCTTTCAGAGAGAATTCATAGAGCAGCTTTTGGACGTATGAATATCTGAAAATATATGAAATAATGCATGATTTTACAATGAAAGAGTTGCCATATAAAAGTTTTTGATCAGTACCAAAAGGTCAATAATAATGACCTCAAAGGACGGAGGATGGTATGGTTTTATACAAGCTGAATGTGTGTATGTGTATACCTCTCCTCCCGGGGTAAACAGTGGGGTAGTACTCATAGTAGAGGTCTGGTTGATCTAGGTTGCCAAAGGGTTCAAACTCCAGCTCAGCGTTTTGGAAAAGGTTCAGCTTAGTCAGGAGGGCCAGCCGCACAAACCAGAGCTGGAACGAACACACACACACACACACACACACACACCTCCCTCTGTTTGTTAAATGTATAAAACATCAATGAATTAAGAAAGACTCAAGAAATGTTTGGCAGTTAGTTTGGTCGAAAAACAAACATCGTAACAAAATGTCTTGATTTTCATTGTATAGTCATAACATTTCTATTTATAATGTAATCCATCATTACATATTTGGGTTTTACATTGGCGACCTAGATATGTACTGTAATTTTCAAAATAGTCAAATATAACAATACATTTTAAACAGTAATCGTCTCTATGTAAAAGCTGTGTAGAGTTTATTCACATCTGGAGGGCACAGGCTGTTCCAGGAGCATGTTATGTAGATTCTCATGAACATTTGACAACACACAGCCCCATATGCACTTGGACATAAGCCCAGGCAGATGCAGCTGTATCCTGATAGAGTCGAGGATGGACTACCTCCCAGTGAGACAGAAAACATGGAAGGATGCAGAAGTTCCTGAGCAGCATGGGAGCCACCAAAGGATGACAGAGGCTAGCAGAGTTTGTAGGGGGTATTAAGGTGTTTATAGTTTAACATCTTGAACTAGGAGAGGAATTCAGGAGGAAACAGGTAGCCTCATGAAAATGTTGTATGATGATGTAAAGCATGTAGTCTGTGCACTTCAATGTAATTTTTGTTAAAGACATTTTATAATGCCATCTAAAGTGACAAGAAGTTATGAGACAGTATTATGATTTGTGTGATTACTTCTATACTGCTTTGAAGCTATGGAGAAACAATATGTCTAAGACTGCAGTTGCATAAAATGACCATACTGACTGACCTATCTATACATAGATTTGAATGTTCATTCTTATATAACTTGCTACAGTACTAGCAGTCTGTGAAAGTGCAGTGTAGCGCTAATGTCCTGTGGGCAGAACAGCGTGTGGTAAAAGGTTAAAAGAGCTCCCCAACAGTCATCGTCTTGTTATGATGCATTTTGCTTTGGGATGAGGCGATATTTTTGTTGACCTTATGGCTACAGTTTGGGCAAGCCAGTTAAGCAAAAAAAAGAGTAATTAATTAAAAAGGGGGATAAAAAAGTCTAAGACTAAGTACAGAAATAACATTTAAAGAACACATTTAAAACCTGGACTTGGAAATTGTGGCAGGATGTTTAAGAAAAGGCAACAAAATGGTCGATTCATTCTGGGTTCATGCACGCAGTGTCTGCCACAGTGGTGGCCTTCTTAATGAGCTCATGCAGCCATCCATCTTCTGGATAGAGCCCCACAAACACAGGCATAAGAATGTGCAAGCAGCAATGCAGACAAAACACATAAAAAAGGACAGTAATGCAAACAACAAAACTAGCATTGAAAAATATCTTGTCCTTTCTTACAGATGTCTGTGTTAGTGGTAATGTCTACCATACTGTGCAGATGTATTATAGCAGAAGTACAATTTCACCTACCCCTGAAGTGAAAATCATAACATAATATCACTCAAAAATAATTATTTCATCAGTTTGGAAATAACCCTCCCTCCAAAAAACAAATGTAATGAACTCCTAATCAGTGAAATGGTTATACAATATCAGCGAGGATATTTAATTACATTATTCTTTAGTGCATTATTGGGTTTATTTTCAACTAAGTGCAAAATGTATTTAATTGTCAAGTGCTATTTGCATTCTGTATAACTCGACATGTCTTGGCTTCACTCTCCAACACCCACAAACACACAGAGACACAAGCAGATGAATGGATGGATGAAGAGAAAGTCACTGGCATCTTACCTGCAGTGAGTCGGTGGTGTGGGAGGTTGGCTGGCCAGCCTTTCCATATCCTTGACCATGAGCTGACAGCAGCCGACCTGTCAGATCCACTGCAGCCCGCCAGTTCTTACTGCTCTGCAGGGGGAGAAAAGACACAACACACTGGATCTGAAACACACACCATGACTGACTGATGGAAACATGGAAGACGACGTGGGGCTTAAACATCACCATCACAAACACACACAAGAGGGCACATCACTAACTAAGGTATCGGTATGTGACATGGCTAGTGACAGCTACGTAGTATTTACAAAGTCAGAACAAGGTCCAACAGGGCAAAAATAATTAATTCCAGTTCATTCAGAACCTGGGAAACAGCAGCTTTAAAACAATCTCAACTTAAAGTCCACTTACTCGCTGGTTCTGGACCTTTCACACAGTTCCTACTCCTAGATTGAGTTTCATCAGTTACAATGGAAATGGAGACATTGAACAATTACATGATTGTAAGTATCCCTGAGGCTGTGTCCAAAATAACTCAGAAATCACTATCTTTACTATCCCCTATTTTATTTGAGTGTGTGAATTCTGATTGTAAAATGTATGATTTATATAGTGCCCTCAAAAAAGTAGTGCCAATTGCATGCACACTACGTCTGATAACAATCCCCCAATGAAATGCATGCTTTTTTTTAATAAAGAAAACTACAGTTGTGAGACACTACAACTGTCTGTTACTGTAGGAAATGAGGGAGGGATTTCAGACACTAGGACTCCTCATCAGCTGTTGCCATTAACTGTCCTGCTCGACTTTTAAGGCAACATAGACGAGAAAGTGTTCAGAATAATGGAAAGTTCTGTGACAACTGACCTACTTCATCTGCTGTCGGAGACCATGAAATATGGCCGATTACAATTTCCAAAGACAGTTACGTGACAATGATATGAAACAGAGGAGAGCAGAAATCCTCACATTTGAGAAGCTATAACTTGTTTTTGCTTGATAAATGACAAACAATCACATAAATTAATCGACTAATTGTTTCGTTTTTTTTACATAGGATTGATGGCCAAATCTATCAAAATAAGACTCAAATTTTAATAAACCTAGGGTAAGGTAGGGTATGCAATTCTACAGAAATCCAGTACCATGACAAATACCATGCTATAGAGCGACACAGCAAGTAATGTAACTAACGTTAGCTAAAGTTGTGGGTGAGTAAACTGTTGCTACAGTTGCTGCTGAGAAGCAGAGGGGAGGAGATGATCCCAGAGCCAGCACACCAGATCCAGAGACTATAGCAAACATCCCAACAACAGCATATCTTGGCCAACCAGAAAGTAAGCTGAATGTCCGTGGGTGAGTCAGTTAACGCGTGACACACAAATCATGGCTAGAATAGTGCTGCGATGCTCGGTCTGATCCACATTATTTGTTTCCCATTTAAAGAGCCAGGGCTGTGTGCAAAAGAAGGAAAAGTAGTACAATAATAAAAGAGCAGGACTTCTGTGAGACAGCGTAAAATAGAAATCACAGGGAAGCACTTTTTTAAGACCTTGAATTTACAAGAGATAACATTTAGGAGAGCTAAAGGCTCGTGCAGACTAGATACCTTTCAGCGTCGGCAGATCGCCGTGCTGTTCACACTACACAACTTGCCGTCTTGTGACGGGAGTCTTGAAGTCGTGGCGTTCACACTACATGACTGATCGGTGACAGGGGGTCACACACTACACGAACTGACCGCGGCTCCGTCACCCAACGGCCGGTCTCCAAACCACGTTTTGTCAAGAAAACACATGAAATGTGAAACGGGAAATGATGCGAACCTACACATGAAACAGCTGTTGTTTGTTATTATAAAGACAAAGAATCTGGGTGAAAAAATGGATTAGCTCATGCAGGTAGCAGGGATTGTCTGAGCAACAGAGAGCTGGAGGTGAGTTTAGTGTTCTGTGGTGAAAAAGTAGCTGCCTGCTCTTATTGGCTGGATGTGGATGTCCTCCAGATATTTGGCATGCTAGATATCTGGCTGCCGTCTGCGATGTGTCAGCGATGCGTCAGGGAGCCGTTTTGATTCGTCGTTGAGTAGTTCACACATGACCACTGGCGACCGCCGATCGATTGCTGATTTACCCCAGATCACAGTCTGACGGTCGTCGAGCTCACCGACTGGCAAATCGGGCTTAATATCATGTAGTGTGAATGAGGCTTTAGATGCAAAAGAAAGGGATGTTCATCTTACTAATCATCTGATATGACAGTTTCAACTCCAAACTGTTAATGTGACATCTAATGCTGCAAAACAATAGCTACTACATATGTGTGTTTAAGGGTTTACACTGATGTGGAGAACTGTCAGCCATTCAGGCTGGAGGACAAAGCGCCACTCACACACAAGTGAGCATGCGTACACACACACACACACACACACACGCACACACACACACACCTTGATATTAGCAGCATCTGCTTCCACAGGAGGGGGTACAATAGGTAAGAGGGGAGCAGAGGTGGGAGGGGGTGTTGAGTCGCCCCACCCCATCACCACACATGACAAGGTCGGCTTGCCGATTGGTCCTAAGTGCTGTGCCATTCATCACAGCCAGGGAGCTAATTAGGAGAGAGAGGAAGAGAGGCGGCTACTTCCTTTCTAGTCATCTTTATCACAAAACTCATCACCCATTTCCCCACTCTCTTTCTATGTTGTAGCTGTGCTCTTCCCCATTCATCCTCTCTCCTTCTTCCTCTCCTCCTTTTTCCTCTTGCCTCTCTTGCTGCCCTCTCTCTCTCTCCTCAGAATTCTTCAATACTTTCTTCTCCCTCAATCTTGATGGTTCCTCTTGTCTTTCCTCTCCCTTCTTCCTCCACCCGCTCTGACTCTCATTTCTGTCTTCCTTCTCTTCCCGCTGTCATTTCTTCCTCCTCTATCATGCCTTTCTCATCCCTAACCCCCCTCCTCCTTTCATCTCCTCTCCTGCCCTGTGCCAGTAGCTGCGCTGCCTCTGAATCTTCATTAGGGGGGGAAATGAAGCTGAAAACGAGGAGGCAGCCTGGACGGCCAAAAGCAGCTGCAGTCACTCACACACTCACACACACACACACACACACACACTTTCTACAGTACGCTACAGTACACTGCTGCCCTGCCACAGGGCACAAGAAAACAGGTGTGCGAGCGTGTGTTTCTAGTTGTCTGTCTGAGATTGGGATGTGGCGTGAGAAGGGAAAAGAGAAATGCCATGTACAGTAGCTGCATTCCCACACATACACATACACACACACACACACACACACACACACACACAGTTGAGACAGGGCACAGAGGGATAAGGGGTTTCACTAAAGGATAAGCAGGCTGTGGATGGAATGAAGTCTGGCCAACATTTAGTAAAAGAGAATGTCAAAGTTGGCCATCGTGGATGGAAGAAGAAAAAAATAAAATAAATAAAGCAGAAACTCTGGGCAAAAAGATTTGTAAGAAGAAAAAATGAGTAGTGGATAGCAGAGTGAAGAGAAGGAAAGCTGAGTGGAGGGAGCTGCAGAGAGGCACCACAAGGAGACAAAAGCGAAATATCCCCACAAAGCTGTAAAAGTGAACTTCACCTCAGGTCCTATATAACGATGCAGAATCGCTGCTAAGCATAGCTTTATGGTATAATATTATCTTACAGCAGCCTATAATTTTAGGTCTCGACCCATACCAACCCAAACTAAACATTACAGGCATACAGTAATACATTAGCTGTGATTTGAGTGGACAGCAGGCTGGCTTTGTGTTTTGAGAGGCAATCTTCTGTGTCCACAAGGTCACAGGGTCTGTCTCTATTAAAGATAGTATGTGATTGTGAGCGTCGTTGAGTGAGATAATGATGGACGACTCTGCCCCACTGTCATCTCAAATGGTTGAACCTGAGCTCTGACCCCACTGACATAAAAAGTGTACGAACAATCACAGATTGGATTGTTAAACATGCTAATCTAATGTCTTGTCTCCAACTGTCAGTATACATTATAGAGAGTGAAATTCATATTCTATCTTTTCAGTTTCTCTGGGTAAACTTTCGTCTAGTAGCATTTTTCCACAGACATGGTGTAGCCTGCTTTAGCCACACAGTGCTATGCCAATCTTTGATCACATGCATTTCACTATTGTTGTCATGCTTAGTAGCAGGGCTGACCGGGCCAGTCCATGACAATTTCCTCCCTCAAACCAAGCAGAGTCTTGGCTCAACACATGGGCTAGAGTGGTGAGAAAACGCACCATTTCTCTCGACCAAAGACAAACGACTCGTAACGGAAAGTCCCTGGTTTGGAATGAGGTTTCACTACTATGTTTGTAATTTCATCTAAGAGATGTCGGCCTCATTGTTTCCTAGCCGTTTCCTTACAGCCATATTGGTTGCTGCTAATGCAAACCAAGCATTTCCTTTCAAAGCTTCCCATTAGCAAACCATTGGGAGTTTTTTTTAAAGATTGGTTTTCGGGCATGTTTGGCATTAAATGATAGTATATGGTCGACAGACAGAAAGGAAATGTGTGGAGAGAAAAAGAGGGATGACATGCAATAAAAGGTGACCAGATTCAAATTGAAGACGTAGAGATGTTAGCATTGTAGTAGTCCTTGCTCCAAGGAAGCATATGGCACTTGTGATTGGTTAGCAAGTCTTTCACACAAAGATAATAACGGAATGAATCTGTAACTGCACGACTGTTTAAAATGGGCCAAGATGCAATGTATAATTAACCTATATTTTAATCACCAAAGTCATTAGGTCTAGGCCATTATAATCCCTAGAACAAAGCTCAGTGAAATGTACCAAAATATAGAAAGTGTTTGTTGATAGTATGCCATGAATGCAAAACAAACCTCCAAAGGTTTGAATGATTTCAAACCTAAGACCAACCAAAGTAAAAAAAAAAACAATAGGCTGATGGTGATTAATAATTTAACTCAGGATAAATGACTCTGCATAACACACAATCAGATCGCCCCAAATCAAATAAGGAGACATTACCATGGTGATTTACTACCAGTGACATGAGGAATTGACTACAGAGGCTTGGTGAAAGAACTGTGAGGTCGGATAGGGGAGGGGAGAAGTCAGATATGACACCACACAGTAACAGT